ACTATATGTATCTTCAGGAAATATACTTTCTTTTCCAACACTCATAATAATTTATGGACAATTTTGTACAGTATAGATATGCTTAATGAAGAAAGTGGTTCTCAGCCAGCTTTCCATGCTAGTATACCACCAAGATACTAGCATACTTCATCACAAGCAGCCACTCACACCATACCTGGTGATTCCCAATGCCAGAAGGTCAGCACCTTTTCAAGAGGAGCATTTAACCATTTTGATGGGACGGGGTACAACTTGAAAAATGACTTTGGATATTCCTGGTGTACTTCTCCACTAAGAAAGGACAGATATTTCTTCCCTTGAGGGAATTTGTCAAAACCTGAATGAAATGTGATGCAATTTGAAAAGCCCCTGAATTATTCTGATGCCCACCCCCACTACCCCTCACATAAATGCCTAACAAGTGGAGGTAGAGTTCATCCTGACCAGTTGAAAAATCATTGCGTGATCCCTCACATGGTATATGTATATAGAACAGCAATTGAAAACTTTTTATTGCTACCAGTTGCATAATAAATGAGCATCAAATTAGGTCAGGTAATACTGAAGCAACAAGAGTTATATGTCAGTTCCTCTTTAAATTCATGTCTTCACTATTTTAGCATTCTGGTAACATATTCTTTCCTAAAATCATTTGCGAAGCAACTTATTCTAATTAATTTTCCAAAATGATCTCACCATTTTATATATTTGTTACTTTTCTACCTGGAGAGTAACATTATATGAAAATATCAAAAATAGTGTGTTATCTTATCATAAATAAGAATAACTTATATTTATCATTCAAGTGTATGTAAAGCTCCAGATTTTGTATATAGGTATGTATTATATATATATATTTAAATGGCTTATCATAATATGTACATATGGTATTTAAGTGTGTGGAGAAATACATGGCACTGTGCTTGGGATTAAGCAAATATTAGGTGACTTATCTCTTCTTCACTGTAAATGCAATTAGAGAAGGGAAATTGGGAATATTGAAATGTGGCTCTGTTTAGATGACCCAAGAGAAGAATTAGGGGATAAATATAAATATCTTTCCATGCTAGATACATGGAGATGGTAATGATGAGGAAGGAAGCAAGCTGAATAGACCGTGGAAGGCCAAAGAGAAAGGCAAAATAAGGTGTACATGCAAGAAGTGATAACTTCAGGCCTCCATGACAATTCAAAAAGATCATAGCCCCTCTCTTTTAAGTGAGACCTAGGAGAAATGAAACTCACATTTACTGGTAGCCTTACATGGTTAGACGCTTTGCTTACCTCATCTCTTTAAAACACCTTTTAAACTACCTCACACACACCCCTCACACCACCAAAGAACTCTATAATGTAGACATTTTGAGTCCTGTTTAGTAGAAAAGTGAGGTTCTGAGAAGTGGAACAACTTATTTATTCTAGCATGTTCATTCTCAAAGGGATAGCACTGGAGTTCCACAGTGGCATATCCACCTTAAAGACCAAAGTCCAGGCTTAGTCTTTTGTGTCAAGACACCTCCCTGAGCTAACAGCTCAGTAGAGAGGGAGAAATAAAAGAATAGCCCATTTAGCCTAAGTCAGATCTCCTGATCAAAGGCAGGACATAGCCCCAAAAGGAAAGTTCTTTGATGTACACCCTTTCCATGAAAGTTCATGATATACACTCTATAAGTGAAAGCATGGATACATATAGGCATAAGCATAGAAGCTCTCTCATTCTAGCCTTCAAATTCTCGTTCATCAGTGACCATTGGGTAGCCTCTAGTGATCAGGTTGAGTCAAACATAAACCTCCGGGCTTCATTTTCCTTGTGGCTTATATAAAAGACCTCCTCATAAACTATTCCTGTGCTCTGAAGAAATGGCATCTAGCCAGATGTCCTCAGAGCCACTGTCCCACAAGCTTTACCCAAGTAAAGACCACCCTCGCTTCTCTGTTTAAACTTGTAAACTTCAGTAGATGGTCATGATATCTTTTTCTTATGGTTACATGGATGCAGAGTTGCCTCCAGGCCTCCCAATTTATCATATATTTTTAAAGATTGTGGCAAGTCCTTTTTTGAATTTTGAAGTTTACTGACCAATCTTTCCAAAATATAACTAGGAATTACGTTGTGCTCACTTGAGCACAAATAAAAAAAAATAACTGATAAAAAAATACTGAATCAAACAGTAGCTATGTCAGAGTGTATATTACTATGGACAACTGAACTATGCATGCATCAATGCATTAGCTTCCTTTTGTTATTATAGTAAATTACCCAAACTTAATGCTTTAAGACAACACAAATTTAATATCTTACAATTCTGGAAGTCAGAATTTCAAAATTAGGTTAGCAGGTCTCTGTTTCTTCTGAAGATTCTAAGGGAGAATTAGATTCCTGCCTTTCCTTTTCTAGCCTCTGAAGGTTGCCTGCAATCCTTGGGTTATGGTTCCATTACACTTTAATTTATGCTTCTATTGTTAAATCTTCTTCTCTTACTCTGATCTTCATCTTTCTCTGATAAGAACCTTTGTGTTTACTTTGGAACCATCTGATAATATAAGGTAATTACACCAACTCAAGATTTCTATCTTAATCATCTTTCTCAAGTCCTTTAGCCAAATAAAAAAACACATTTATAGGTTCTAAGAACTAGAATGTGAATACCTGTGAGTATCATTAGGAAATAATTTTCACCTAAAAATATCAGGGAGAAGCAGAGAAAGTTTGGAATATTGAAGTATTGTGTGGGTGACTAAAGAGAGAAGCCAAAATGCAGGCTCCATTAACACTCATCAATGATATCACAATAGGGCATTAGAGAAATATATTGATGAAATATGCATTGCAAAAGATAAATAGATTGGATTAAGTTTGCTCAAGTTCTATTAGACACACTAATGAAAGCTCCCATCATGGGCTCTTTTGAAAAATTTGTTGATAGCTTAAAATGTGAGTAGTTACTCATATATCATTATTATAAACTAACATGAAAATCACACTAATCTGTGTATACGTGACTACATAATACACATAGACATATATGATTATTATATTTATATATATATATACATGTACATGTGAGTTAGATATGTTCAAATAAGAAGAAAACTCCAAAGATTTTCTGAATTGTTGCCGTTAAAAAAGTACAATCACACCTGTATTATCTTGTTTTGTTTTGCTTTGCTTTTTGGTACCAGGGATAGAACTTGGGACCTTGCGCTTGTGAGGCAGATGGCAGCACCACTGAGCTAAATCCCTGGCAGTCCTGTATTATTTTGATACCAACACTATCTTGCATTGTTTTGAAAAGCAAGGAGGTGCAGTATTAGAAGTGTTCCAGCCCATCCTGACTACCTGGAGGTCTCACATATCACTGTACTTAACTTGCCAGCAGGTTGTTTAGGAACACACATGTCATCGAATGGACAGTGTGATGTCATCAGAAACACCAAGCATTTAAAAATGTTTCCATGGTCCAGTATTTATTATTGAACTCAAAAGATATATATGCATCAAAGTTTGAAGTCCATATTTATGAGTTATAATGTGCTCTTTTTTTTTTTAAGAGTATAGTATTTAAATACCTGGAACAAGGATTTCATAACAAAAGGGCAAGCTAACCTTACTAAATGCCGATTACTCTGTATAAAATAGAAAAGGAAATAAAGCATTTTTATAAAATGTATCAAATCCTAAGAGTGCTGTTAAACTCATTAAAAAAAATGAAGTTAGAGAAACTGGTCTTATTTTTTTTCACTCCCAGTAGAGTTCATTTCTACTTCAACAACTAAGCCAAGGTCACATTTAACTCACTTCAATTTCACCCAGTGCACAAGCTAATGTCAATAGTACAGCTGCCATGCAGAGCTAAAGACTGATGGTTAGACAAAGCCATTTACACAAGGCTGGGTCTTTCATCTTCTCTCAGCCAGTGACATAAGAAAGCACTGAGGTTATTCTCAACTAGAGACGAAAACTAGCATATTAGAAAGAATGTTATTCTCCTTAGCTGTCACACAAAGGATCTGAAGAAATGTAGAAATGTTTTTTTTCTTCCTCCCCCCTCTGGTCATCTGGGGAGATCACAAAGTGACTCTAATAGCCTTCACTCTGAAATTTTCACATGGTTTAAGTGATTGCCAAGTCTGATATTTTCCATTTACACTTCATTGCCATCAGAAAAAGAAAAAAAAATCAATATACCTACCTACTCAAGTGTGTCACAGGATGAGCTTATAAAAGAAGACATCAGTCTTTTTAGGGCATGAAAAATATACTTATTCAAATATATCTTATTTAAAATGACATAAATTGCAGTGGTTAGTCAAGATTCGATTTCCTCTAAAATATAAGATTTAAAATATTCCTTGACTTGCCAGGAATCAGAATCCTTCAAGTTGTTGATATATACAGATGTACTTGTTTTCTGATGGAAGTCATTCTGACTGTATTTTATTTTAGTGCATTAGTGACTGCATTTATTAATTTCACAGGAACTAAGCACCTCATTTTATGAGACTAAACAAGGTAGTAGTTTTTTTTATTTCCTTCTTCTCAGGAAATAATTCTATTTTGAACCTTACTTTTCTATTATATGGGTTCTTGTACTTCTAGTTTTATGTCTTAGAAAAAAAATGAGAATGTTTCTTTATATTATTCTAATAATATTGTACATTAAGATTCTATTCTGTCTTAACTTATTTTAACTATTCAACTTCTTTATGCAGAAAAGGTGTAATGAGTTCGGTGTAACATTTCAAGTGCTTTTGTTAAAACCAGAGGTAATTTTAACTGTCAAAGGAACATCCATGTCAGATTGGTCTTTCAATTAAAAAGTCTCATGTCGAGTTTGAGTGCTATGACTATGTGTTATATACATGCTCTATATTGCGGATATTTAGAAACTTCCTTTTCAGGAATTCCAGTCTGAGATATGTGGTAAAAAAGGGACAGGATTGGTAGCTGTGCTCTGGGTTTCCTGAGTTCGTTCACTGCTCAAATGTCTCCCTCCTAGACACTTTACGGCATGTAGAGAGCCTCACTCAGTGCAGCAAGAAACTGAGAGGATCAACCCAGTCCTTCCAAGTTAAGATATAATATTCAATGTCACCTGTCAAGGAGTTCTGAAACAGTGATGGAATCTTCACTTTCCCACGATTACAGTGCCAACTGGTAGGTCTGCAGGTTCTTATATTTATCTCTGATGCTCAATTCCTACCCTCAGGATAAGAACAGTGAGCCCAAAGACAGAGAGAGAGAGAGGGGAGAGAGAGAGAGAGAGAGAGAGAGAGAGAGAGAGAGAGAGAGAGGGAAATTCTGTTCCTAGGGTCACTCTCGGACTCAGTTCCACATGTGGCAGTGCAAAACACTAATAATTTGAGTTACTAGGCCGTCCCCCACAGTTACAAGTATTTCAAGGTCAATTTATCAATTTAACAGCTTCATCTTCTTAATCACTAAACTTCTGTCTCTTTGAGCTTGTGCTGAAAGACTGTGGCTGCTAATTAAAATGGAGCTTTACTAGCAAGTACACAAATTAGATCCTGTCAGTAAGTTTATTCTAACTATTGGTCATTTCTAAATGCCTTTTTAATCCCCTAATTTTTACATTAAAATTCAAAAGCCTAACAATCTTAATCACCCCTACATCAAATTCATCATTAAGAACAGGAAGCCAGATGGTATAATTTTGATTTACCGGACTTCAGCGTGAATTAATGTACTGAGTGCCGATAATGAATACATCAAACCTGATATTGCAGAAACCTATGAATCTGGCATGTTAAATTAATAACACACTCTGCACAATGAAAGCATGTAAGCTCATATAAAACTGAAGAGTAATGGCCCTTTTATTTTAAATGGTCTTTATTAGCCTTCCGTTTTGACTCTTAAGAAAAAGATGAGCATTTTGTTTAGTAGTATACATGTCTCCTATTCAACTGTTTTTCCCCAATATAAAACAACATGAACAAAATCAGGATGATTAATAACAAAGCTGGTCTTGAAAAATTTGCTTCAAGGATTCTCAGAAGAGCTGCTAGTTCGGCATTTATTTTGGGAATTGTACATATTAGAGAGAGTTGGGAAATTTCTGTAAAATATTACATACTGTAAAATAGGATGTTACTGTTTTCTTACACTGAATAAATTGCTCATAATATATATGTCTGGGAACCACTCTTACATATTAAACTTTTTTGAAAGCAGACACATGCTATTTATTAATTTTTGTCTCATTACCCCTAACTGTATATTGTTTTATTCCCAGAAATAAAATAGAACTTATATTCAGTCATGCAAGTCACGTGTGCAAAAGACTGTCCACAATTGGTGACACAGGGTTGTTTCACATAAACATTATTGACACTCAAAGTAAGTTAAAACTGTTGTTTTATGATAATATTTACTCATACCTCTGATATTTTACTTATATATTTTATAGAGTATATTTTTATTTTATTGACTTGCAGATAATTCCAATTTTTATTAACACTCGAAGATTTAAAATAAAAAAATTCATCAATTAAGTACAAAAAAAATCTGTGGAGTAAATCAAGACTTAAAATATAACATTTTCTGGCAATTTGGAATTCATATAAAATAGTGTCATCCAGCAGAGCAAGAAATATGTATTATTTCCACCTGAATTTTCTAAAACAGAATTTATTAAATCAAACTGTGGCTGTTCTGCAAGAATGCTGGGGTGTTTTTCTTCCATACTAGAGGCAAGATTACAAATCGGCTGTCCAGTCTGAGCCTGCAAATGGTCCGGTGTAATATACTTTGTAAATGAAGTCTTCTAAACGCTTGAAGTGGTTTTGCTTCATATTCCTAATACATATCAATAGACAATGTGGAGATCCAGAAGTGTGGAGGGGAGCAATCTTTGCTTTTGACTTGACACTATCTATAATGGTATTTGAAGATGGTGAAAATGCCTATTTTACTTTTAAAGTGGTGATAGGTGACCAAACGCTGCAGGTTAACAACATCAGCTGCTTCTGAGTTTCAGGGACCTTCGTTTTTCACTGCTATGTAGGTGCACCAAATATTTCAAGCAGTCTGACTCTGAAATGAAGACAGTGCCACAAATAGGGTAATGTTAAAAAAAAATGGTACAAACCTTACCCTAAGTGCTATTTTCTAGATAACATTGCTCATTGGTTCAATCTATACTCACACTTGTAAGACAGTATAGAGGATAATTTGTATCTCTTAGAGATACAGGACCAAGATTTATTACAGAAAAGGGAAGGGATGTATTAGTGCTTTATCTTAAGGCTAGGGAAAATAAAAGCACTTTTGAGGCTCCTGGTATTTATTTTTGTGACTTAGCCTTCAAAAATTGTGCTTTTTAATAAAGATTAGGCTTTTAAGAAGGACACCTTTAAACCTTACATCAATTTGAATGGAGTAAGTCGGTTATTTCTGGCTGAAAATTTTTCTTACTCTTAAATCTATTTAACTGAAGCTCATTTGACAAACCTATTATAAAATGAATAAATGCAGCACTGTGTGATTTGTCCACTGTCAACATGTTAACACACTTTATTTGAAGGTAGATTGATGGAGGGTGGCTGAAGGAGTTTACCCTCCTGAGTTAAAGAATAGAAAACCCTTTTTTTCTGGGTTTTTTTCCTTTTTTTTCTTAGAAGTTCACAAGAGTAGATATACAATTATCCTCGACTTGCTGATGCAAAGGAACAGAGCATTTAGTTTCTTGTCACTGTCTCTGAAATTCCTAAAGGTACAATTAGCATTTCATTTGACATAATGTTGAAAGGTTCATAGATTGATCTTCCCTAAAATGCAGCAAGAATTTTTTGAAATGCAAATTTTGACATTTATTAACTTTTATTCCAGATCTGTTTATAGACTGTAAAACTGTGCATACATTTAACTCGAAGAAGCTAAAAGGACAATGTTTAGGTGGATACTCTGTGTTATAATAAAAGTCTATTTTATTGTTTCAACAATGAAATTTTTATTATCAGAGATTTATGATATCAGCACAGCAGTTTTTACTGCATGATTCACAGTGTTTTTATAGATGTATATTCAACAAAACAAGGAGAAAAATTGTTCTGCAGAACTCTCTCTCAGGAGTGCATTTCCCCATTGAAATAATGTCAGCAGTTTTCCACCTTCAAAGCCCTATGTTTTCAAATCAATTAACAATTCTAATTGTGCAGGAACAGTTGTTCACTTAGCTTGGCAAATGGGACAGGAAACATTATTTCCTTTCTTTGCCGAAAATGAAGACTTTAATCTTCTGAACCATATTTAACATATAAAAAACACACAACCCAAAAGTTAGACAGCTTGAAACTCAGTCTCTTCACCAGTGCCTTCTGCCTGTTGGTGTGGCCACCATTAATTTTCCATTCTTCCTCCAACCTTGCTGGAAGCCCAGAGTAATAACAGTTTTACATCTGTGTGTGGACAAACCATCTTCAGATTCATTTAGGCTTTTCTGTAATCAGATATTTTTCTAGCCAGGCAGTTGTAAGAGTTATTACTTTTCTGAGGTAGCACCGTACACATTGGCTCTGACCCGAGTTGCAACACTCGAATGCAGATCTCTATCTGCCAGTTGGAAACAGCTGACATGGCAGCGTGGAAGAGCTAGATCTGCTCTTTCACTTAGAGTCCTAATGTCATTTTCACTTAAAAAAATTTTTATTGGGATTAAAGTGCAGCTTGTAAGATATTGAACAATGTGGTTCATAAAACAAGGAACACATGCAATCTTCTAAGACATTATTAAATATGTACAGTTTAACCTTTTCTTTTTACAAATGTACATTTGAATTATAGCTCATAATGTCTGTCTATATTTATAAAATACATAAATGCTATGATTAAAGGAGGAGATCTTCAGCACTTCAGCTTCATTGAAAAAAAATGTCTTTTATTTTATTTTCAGTATCTTAAAATTATTTAAATAGATACTTTTAGGAAGATGGCTTACATTCCAGAATGATTAAAAGGCCCCCAACAAAATAAGGATTTCCTGATTTACTCCCTCTCCAATTTTTAATTTACTGCACTGGTTTGGATGAGTCTCAGTATGAGTGACCTATGGCTCATTATTCCATTTAGATCAGACTGGTTTCAAAGCACACAGATGCTATTTTTATCTAGTAAGGATCCTAAAATTTCTTAATCATGTTGCTTTAAACATCATGCTATTGCAAATAAACCTGAGGTTAATCATTTTGCCCAATAAAAATCAAAATATGTTGTTTGTATTCACAGAGATCAAATGTGCAGGAAAGCTGTGGGTAAACTAGGCCACCGATGTGTAGACTTTGTTCTCTCAGTGGAACTTCCACAGCTGATTGAAGTGGGATGCATTTCCCGGCTGATCTGGTTTAACAGAAAAGTGCAAAATCACATTTTGGTCTGTTGGATTTCACATGCTTCTGAATGCAGCTCAAGATCATCAGTCAAAAATCCCTTTGGCCAATGAGAGTAGCAAATTCCAAGGCAGTATAATGGATAATAAAGTACATTTCCAAGCATATTTTCTAATAAACATTGAGAATAAATAACAAGGAAAATTTTGTACAAATGTATCATTATATTCTCTTTGTGCTTTAAATGAAAGGAACTTGATATTTTAACCATATTTATGTGTTTGAAATGAAATGTCTGTTGCATACTCATATATTATGGTCATATCTCCACAACCTTCAAAATCTTATTCAAATACAACTTTATGATCAACGATCTCCAAATGAGGAATAAATGCTCTCTTTTTTTCCCCCATATTTATATAACACTTTTTAAATGTCAGTGTAATTGGACTTACCATTTGACTTCAAATGATTCCTGTTCATGTGTTACAAGCCAGATTTCACTGTGAGCCCTTTGAGGGGTCACACTATATTTTATACGAGTATGTGCCCTCCTTTCCCTGGGAGTTATGTACAGAGTGTGCTCCACAATAAAGCAGTAAATGACTGAGCGCACAAGCAGATGGTCATACAGGACTAATGCATAGCAGGTTTCTCGACCTCAGCACTGTTGACATTTTGGACCGGCTAATTCTCTGTGCTGGGGGCTGTGCTGTGCAGTACAGGATTTTAGTATCATTGTTGGCTTCTGCTAACCAGATGTCATAGGACCCTTAACCCAAGTTGGAACAACCAAGAGTTTCCAGGCATTACCAGATGTCCTCTAGGAGATATAAGCATCGCTCCTTCCCACATTCAATGCCTCTGATATAAAAGTGTGTGTGTGTGTTTATATGTACGTGTGTGCATGTACACATTCCAAAATGCAGAAGGAAACCATGAATTATTAACACAATCTAAGAAATATTTGGTCCCATCACATCATCTATTGGTTGTGGTCACAAATCTTCCTGGCTGTTTCTTTCCCACCTCCACACCTCTTCCTAAGTTCCCCTTAACACATATGTAGGTTCTCACTAACACATCCATTTGGGGGTTTCTGCTGAAAAATGTTCTCATTTTATTCAGGAACTGTGAGCTTTATACCCACATTCACTTTCCCATATGTGATTTTGAGAACAGTGTCTAGGTAATAAAATGAGTTTGGCTTGGCTTGACTAAGTGTAGTCAATATTGTACATATATATATATATAGATAGATAGATAGATAGATAGATAGATACACACATATATATACACATATATATATACACATATATATGTATATATATATATATTTCAAACAGCAGTAAAAGTGTAACTATGTAGCTTCCATGGGGGTTTGCTTGCATTATCTAGTTTCTTGATTTATACCTGTGTATATCCATCCATATTTGAAAGTACTTTTAATACTGAGTAAAATACTAAAAAAGAAATGGAGTAGTAAATGTGGAGATTTCAGTGAAGAAATTATATCTGAGGAAAGAAAAACTAAGACAGAAAGAAAATCAGAAGGAAGGGAGAAATGCGGAATGTCTCATCAATAAAAATTAGTCATGGTTTGTGTGTCTTCCATATTATTTCACAATTTCTCTCTAGCTTGAGCCAGATGCTTTTATCATTCTCTCTGCATACTCATCAGACCGTTCTTCATCCTTCTTCCTCCTTTACAACTTTTAACATTACTACTGGTGTGCTTATTTTTTCATGCTATTTTAAAATATAATTATACCATGCCTAATTACCAAAAGAAATCATATGATTTAAGTGGGAAAACAAATAAAAATGGAAGTTTCAGGAGTAATTATAGGAAGAATAAATGTAATAAAAACCTTGAATAGCTAGTCAAAATTATTTATGTATTAATGTAGTCATTCTGAGAGAGAGAGAGAGAGGAGAGAGGCAGAATTATACAGATTTTAACAATATATCAGATATATCATCTTAGACTTAATAGGGAAAACAAAGTCAAAGAAGATGGATGTAGCAGAGATTAGTAAACAGAATATATCCCAATAAACCTTATATACCTACTAGAAATGGATCACAAAATTAGTTCTACCTTTCTTGCAGGTGAAAAGGTATCCATCGTGGGTAAGATTCAGTGTCCTTTAGAAGAAAAACAGATCATTATTTAGAAATAGCAGAATGATATTTTATTCTGACATGGGAGAAACATTTATGTTTTTAGAAGTATGGATTAATTATAACAATAAAGAACTAAAGCTAATCTTGTACTTTTCAACAGCCAAATACTAATTGAAACACTAGATCATATAGTTTTAAATGTCCTCTCAAAAGCATAGAGTATAAACTTAAATGGAAAGAAAAAAATATTTCCCTGTCACCAAATTATAGGAAAAATTTGTCACATGAATGCTCATGTATGAGACTTCGGGTTACATGATGTTCAAAGTCTTCCACTAGCTTTTGCAAAAGATGCAGAATGGCTCTCCAAATGGATGAATGACTATTCTTCAAAAATGACCTTTTATAAAAGCTGAGGGCATAAAATTAAATCATAATTCAGTGAAGGCATTTTTCCAGAAAATAAGATAATATAGTCCAGGTATATTACTTTCCTATGCCCTCACCTAGGTCAGTAATAGCATTTCAAGAACTTTGAAGGAATGGAAAGTTAACATTCCTTAGATCAATGGTCCTCAAATATTTTCTGTTCTAGCCAGTGCTGATTAACTCAACAGGGAAAGCATGTCAGAAAGAGGAAAAGGATAAAGCAGAAAAACTGGAAAGAGACTGTTTTAACTTCTGAATATGTGTAAATTTTGCTACTTTGGACAGTTTCCTTTTTCTTTATTATAATTATTTAATTTTTAAGCTAATGTCAATGGAGACCATGATATTCTCAATGTTTTGGGTTTCTAATGCTGTCAGTAAACCTGAAGAATAGGATTTTCTTCCATCCGTAATAGCAGTGAAGATACGGTTCTCCATCTGGGCAGTTAGGGCTGTTGGCAGGTGAGGAATTTGAGAGAATGCGAAAGGACAGAATTGGAGGAATGGAGTCTTCCTGAGTACCCAGTTTTTAGCAGTCCATGTAGGATCTGCAGAAACATTTAAGGTAATTGTCAAAAGCTTCCCTATGCTGTCAATCTCCCTATCTAATTTATAAACACTGTTTTCCTCAAATATCAGCACTTTCACTCAGCTTTTGGCAAATGGTCTACTGCACTTGAATTAAAGGTGAATTTTCTCACAAAGGTCTGAATCTTCTAAATCACAGATTAAATAAAGATAGCAGCATATTCAATAATACTTTGAACATGTAGAGGTTCACAGGTGTCCTTGCTCAGGTAATGGGAAATTCACCATAGGTAGTGTGGAGGTTTATGTAGGGACAAGGCATCATTTTTCTCAAAAGATACCTTTAACTCTTCTGGTGAATGAATATGTACATAAATGTAGATAAGTTTTAGTTTAAATCACACACAGAGACACACACACAAATAGGTAAAAGAAGTGATTTTGAGTAACATTTCCTTATAATCGATTTTCCAAAATAAACCAGTTGTTGAATTCACCCTTTCTTGAGAACTAGTGCCCTACTGTGGGTGTCAAACAAGTAGCATTTAAAATTCATAACTCAGGTAAGAATGCTTTTTTTAAAGATAGGAATATAGTGTGTTCCTACTTATTATTATTTCTTCTTCTCTTCTCTGAGTAAATGAGGATTATTAAATCAGGAAAAAGACCCTAGAGTAATAACTACAAGAAGACGAGCAGATTTTATGATTCTTGTTACCTTTCCAAGAGTCTTATTACCACAACACCCTTCTTCTTGAGTTCATGTTTGCATAAGTGACTGACATTCCCATATTGTTGTTAGGGTTTCTCAATTTGCACTCAATGTATCAAAAGTCAGAATTAATGCCAAAATTTTAATTATAATATTATTGGAATTATTATCATTTCCATTTAAGTATGGAGGAAAAATGTTACTACATCTCCATCTGCGCTATTTCTGCTACCTCTTTTCCTGATTGACTTAAAGCTCCTGGTTTTCTACCTCCTATTTGCTCCTGATATTGAACAAAACATTTGCGTACACTTCTGAATTGGGCCCTGGTTCTGACATTCCAGATAAAAAATTTTTTGAATCTTGACATCCTCCTGGAATTTCGTTGTATTTCCATGATCTCTGTGAATGCAGAATTGTGATGACTGACAGACCCTTTCTAGGATGGTTTTCTCTGGGGCTGACTCTGTACTCCCTTTCAGCTCTTCTTCCTTTCCCCAGATTTCTCTCTTTCTGGCACACACAAGCTACATTTTCAAAAACTGACATTCCTGAAGAAATGGAGGACTCTTTGGAAATGAAAGAAAAAGCATAAACTTAAGACAAACATGTGAAAATCATTTGGAAATAATTAGAATCCATCGTTCTTAGTGAAAGAGGTAGACTAAAGAATTTGAGAGGTTGAGAGTTAACTTCAGAAAGTATCCAGAGTATATGCATGAGGCTATAGAAATATTTAAGAAAGGGAGGATCACTTCGTCAAACTACAAGCAAAGAAATTCACAGTACAGTTGACAGTTACAAGAGAAGTGATTTCCTTATTGACTTATGTATACTTAGTAAACAATATTTTAAACAATTTTAATTTTTAAAAGGGTAACCTTTTTATAATTTTGCTTTTACCTCTTGTGATGATTACTTTTCCTTCTTACAATACCTGCAGTCGAGGAAATACTCTAAGCAAAGTATGGTTTGTTTCTTGATAGGTCAAAACACAGCATTACAGTAGCCTCTTAATAAATGTCAATTACCTTCCCTTTTGAGTCTGGTATTATGCTAATAACATTTTGAATATTCGTAGACCTATATAATATTTGATCAGCAGAGGAAATTAGAACTGCTCTCACCCAGTTCTCTTTAACGAAGATGAAGACATTGTGGCTCAGAGACTGAAAGTAGCTTACTTGCAGCTGCCCAGCAAGTTAAGACTAAAGACCAGGAGCCAAGTATTGGTGGAAGAGGGTAGCACAAGAATCAAAAGCATTCAAGAGCAAAGGTACACATTCTAGGAAAGATGACTGTTTCTTGTCTGGAGAGGTAGGTTGATTCCAGTCCACACACTCTTAAAGGCCAAATTAGAAACTGTAATGAGAGACATCAGATAAATAAAGCAGGGTGGTGGCCTTAT